AACGTGCTGATGACTTACGGGTTTATCAAGGCCTTATGATGCCTCTCAACCACGAGGTAGGCATACAAGGTACTTTAAAACAATGCTTGATATTAGTTGACAGAGCTCTAATGTGGCACATCTCTTTTTTGTTCAATGGTATTTTGTTTCACGCTCAATCGTTTCTCGTGTTGTGTTCACATCACAGTAATGGATGTAAACAACCTGTTCCCAGATTTCCGCTCTACATACTATTTTCCTTTGACTTAAAGACAGCTACGATTCTGTGGAATACACTATAAACAGTCTACTTGTTTGCTGTTCAATAAAATAATAAGGTTTCTTTTGTTTTTCGTTCAACAAAAGATCTCCAAAAGATGCCGCTTGGAAAACTGAGTTTTTTTGCATACGTTATTTCTYGARAACGAARRGCAMCCYAGSGAAAAAAACTTCAGAACAATGTTTCTCAGGTAAAACGAAGCCCACATGCCAAAATTCACCTATTTTTGAGCATTTTCAAAATGGCCAAAAAATGTAGGGGACGTTCTTGCAAGTGGGCTTTTAATTATCCTTGGTTCCAGATGATAAGTTGTCAGATGTTGCCCAAAAGAAGTCTAACAATGGATGATGCCATTGATGAACTTGTAAGTCAATGTTGTGAACCTTCTTTCTCAGCACTGGTACAAGTGTCAACACAGTACAGAACTCAATTACAGGACGCATATCCCGTGTCTGTTTAGAAAGTCTTGCAACCATCATAAAAATGTTTAAATGAACATTTTAAGCTCACTGTTAAAACCATCAAAGACAATTTTAACCAGAAGCTACAGAGGTCAGAAGACAGACAGTCAATGGAACTGCAAAACAACTTGTCAAACAGGAAGTCATGGTGTGCATGTAAATAAATCAAGTTGGTGTCACGTTTGCGAATGTTCGAATGTTCTTGTGTCTTATGTTGTGTTGCAGGTTGAGTTTTTAAAGTTAGCTTTCCTTAGTGCATATTTTTGTTTCCTTCTTTTATCAAAAACTAAAACATCAAAATGAAAAAGTGGTGATCAAATGAAAACAAAAACAGCTGTGTTTGGGCCACTTGAATTCACGTAAAACTATGGTTGCTTTGTTTACAGAGTTAGAATTATATCATAACAAACATCCCTTTCCAGGAATCACTCCTCTGCATTCTATTTTTTGTTGAATCATACTGAGGTCATGGACAATATATTTCTAGCTTGAAATTTACGTCGATTGTCATCTGAGGGCCGTCCTAGGACTGACATTTTAGGCTAGGAGCAAACTTCACTGACCCCATCCAGGAAAAGTTCCTTAGGGGCCTGTTTACATGGAGGGAGGGTGCCCTGGCTAACCAGGCTGCCCAGCTAACCGAGCTACCCTGGGAGGGCTAACTTCTCATACTTTTCTTTACAAAACACATTGAAGCATTTACATGCTACACAGGGTAGCCCGCCTACCCGGGGCACCCTGTCTACTTGCCCAGGGCACCCGGCTAGGAGGGATAGCTTTTTACCATGTAAACGGATTGTACCAGGCTTTCCCGGCTACCTGAGGTGAGATAAACCGTAAAGACATGGCAGTGCAAGGTGAATTTTTTCGTAGTTACCATTAACCCAATGATGCCTGAATGAAATTGCCTGCGACCCACCCCTAATTCCCTGACGTTTTTTGGAATATTTCTGAGCAAGCAAAAGCACAAAAATAAACCATATGTGCAGTAACCACAGACACAAAATCAGGTGTCAAGACATCGTTTATTTAAAGTTGAATAA